GAAGGGCAGCAGCCAAACCCACCGCTCCCAGCCCTGCTCTCTTCCCGCAGTGGTCCGGTGCCCCACGCCCGTGGTCGAGAGGGGAAGGATGACTCCGCAGAGGTTTGTGTTTCCCTACGGGACGGCTGTGAGGTTCTCCTGTGATGAAGGCTTGAAGTTGCGCGGTGATGCTGAGAGCCGGTGCCTGGCCGATGGTGCCTGGCACCCTCCCCTGCCCACTTGCCAGCCAGGTGGGTTCCAGACCCGGGCCGATGCTGGTTTGCACCAGCCAGGGGTGCTGTGCCGTTGAGTCACCAGCAACGGGTGGAATGTGCAGGGAGTTTTCTCCTCCATCTCCTCCCATTGCATTATTTTTTTGGCATGCGTTTTCCTTTCAGTTCAGTGTTCCCAACCCACAAGTGAGGACGGCCGAATGATTTACCCTCTCAAAATGCGGTATGAGGTGAATGAAACTCTGTTGGTCCGCTGCAGTGGTCACAGCTACCAATCCGTAACTTCTGCCTGCTCAGCCAGCGGCACTTGGATCCCACCGCCGACGTGCGTGAGTACCACCATCTGCCCAGGCTTTCTATCCTGCCCCATTTCCAGCCTGGCGTCGCACTGGTCGGACTTCACGGCTGCGTTTCATTACAATGGGGCTGGCCTGGTTGAGGGGTGTGTGTGGGGGGGGGGGATGCTCAGCACGTAGGTCGCTGCAGTGGAGTCTCATGCCCTCTGTCTTTGTTTTGGTTCTTTTAAAGAAAAAGCGTGAGGCATGTGAGAAGATTCCTCGAATTAGGGAAGCTTTCCACTGTGGAGTTCCTCTGACAGAACTGAAAACTCTGCTGGAAGTCCAGAAACTGTACCTGGAGATCCAGAAGCTGGAAAATGAGCTAAAAGGCAGAGCATACAGCTGACTGTCCCCACTGGTACCATAAGAACCGTCCTCTTTGCATGCTGAATAATCACACTGAGTGGGGATTTTTTGTCTTTGTAATTCATGCTAGCACTTAAGTAGCCAGAACAAAATTTACCAATCAGTCCAAGGAACGGGATCTGGTCATATGAGGAGCCAGAAGGTGACTTCTGGCTCATTCCATTAGAGCTCGCTGGGTTAGGTTTGTACATCACTCTCTACATTTTAAAGCTTTACGTTCAGATATGTTTGTTATACTGACAAGGGTGCAGTTAGGAAGGAACGGAGTGGAAAGTAGATCTTGGTCAGAGCCGAGCAGATGCTGTCCAGACAGGCATGAACATGGTAAGAGCCACCAACCCGCGCTCACCCCACAACTGCTGCACCTCTCCCGCTGCAACCCAGTATAGCCCAGTGCTACTCTGGCCGTATATGTTGCATTCATTATAATTAGGCACTTCACTGCCTAATTAGCTGTGACCGTCAGAGCAGGCACAATGAAGAAAACTCCAAAGGCTGTCTCCTAGCAAAGCAAAAATACCAGGTTTTCCTCCCAAGCGGGACAGATGAATCTGAGGCCACGGCAGCGCCACTCGCCGCACCTTTGTGCGTGCACCAAGAGCAGTTGGTGGAAATAAAAGTGTAAAGAAAGAGAAACAGCTGAAATTTTTGTCTGCAACAGCCAGTAAAGGGGAAGTGCGCTGTTAGCATGCATCTTGTGATCGGACCAGTGCTCCTTCGCCACCAGATTGTAATAAAGCTGCAATTGTAATGACAGCCGTGTCTGGCTTTTAATAATTCTGTCCTAGCGAGAGGAAAGGCAAGAGGTGCTTCAATGGCCGTTGCTTGATTAGGCATGGTGGGCTGCTCTTCCCTGGGTGCAGTGCAGGGGTGCACAGGGGGTGTTTGCAGCCTGTCCCCCCACCCCGCCTGCCCCCGGGGTAAAGAGGCGAAGTGAACGCGTGGCACTGCCCAGCGCACCCATCAGCACCTCCCCACGCTTCGGAACCGCGGCCAGGACACCACAGGGAGATTCTAGCTGTAAAACAGCTTTATTCCCGCCGTCCCCAGCGGGGAAGGTGGCAGAGCAGCGATTCCCTCCCAGGACCCATCCTTGCTGGAGAGCTGAGGGAGGGCAGCCCTGGCCTTGGGCAGGTCCGAAGGGCTGGGGGGTGGCAGCGTCAGCGTGGCTCTCGCTTGGCCTGTCCCCAACTTCCCACAGCTGCTTCCCCTTCCCCGGCGCGCTGCGGCGGGCTCTCGGTGGGGAGAGGGTCTTGCCTTCCCACGGCGCTGGCCCCGCGGCTCCCAGCATCATGCGGGTGTTTCTCCGCTGGCCGGGGCAGCTCGTGGCGGTGGCGGTGCTTGTGCTGCAGCCGGCTGGGAGTCTCGGTGAGTGTCGCTCCCCTCCTCGTTTTCATTGCTTCTGCGGCTCAGCTTTGCTTACAGGTCAAATCTGTAATGATCGGGTTAGTAAAATTCGGCAGGGGACCCTCCGCCAGCTGAAGTCGCTGCTGACCTCCTCCTGTGCCTGCTGATCTTGCAAGGACGGTCTGAGCTCAGGGGCTGCTGCTGATGGCCCATTTCTCCTCTTTAGCTGCACCTCTAGATACTTGCAAAGAGCCACCCAAAATTCTCAGTGCTTTTCAAAAGCCTTACATTGGGGTATGGATCCCCCCTGGGACTGGGGTTAAGTGCGGCTGGCTCAGAAGCTGCGAGCTAGTCCCTGGGACAACCCAGGGCCGGGTCTCTTCTCTGCAGAACCTCTCCTGGTCCAGCGTCCTGAACTTGTGTTGCAGGGAGTAGCTCTCCCTTTGCCTCCATCATCCGGGCAGTCGCTGAGAAGTTTTTCCCAGGGTCGGAGGGATCCCGTTACGGTCTGGGGACCAAAGGTGCGGATGGTGGTAAGACGGGGAGAGTCAGTTGGACAGGTAATAGTTTTTACCATTTAATTAAAAGGGTCATAGTTAGCAATTTGAGTGGTGTCAGGTCGATGCTTAAGCACCGAGGCAGCCTGTAGACGTCTGGAAGGTGGCTGGTGGCTTGTGCATCCCGCAGGCTGGCTTCAGTCCAGGAGAAGTGGGGTTTTGCTGACAGATGGCTCTCGAAGGGGAATAACTCGCAGTTTCTGCCTAGAAGTTGACAGTTCCTTTAAAAACGACACTTCTGCAGCGAGCACAGCGCTCCCCACCCCCTCCCTGCAGAGGCATCTGCTGCCCCCCGGCTGCCAGCACCACCTTTGCAAG